ACAATATGATATGTAGAGGGGACAATCGGATATGTACGGGAAATAATCTGATATGTAAGGGGGGCAGTCTGATATGTAGGAGGGGCAATCTGATATGTAGGAGGGGCAATCTGATATGTAGGGGGGCAGTCTGATATGTAGGGGAAACAATCTGATATGTAGGGGAAACAATCTGATATGTAGGGGGGCAGTCTGATATGTAGGGGGCAGTTTAATATGTAGTGGAAACAATCTGATATGTAGGGGGGGCAATCTGATATGTAGGGGGGCAGTCTGATATGTAGGGGGGGGGGCAATCTGATATGAAGGGAAGAGTCTAATATGTAGGGGGGGTGCAATGTGATGTGCTGGAGGGGGCAATCTGATATGTAGGGGGGGGCAATCTGATATGAAGGGGGCAGTCTGATATGTAGGGGGCAGTCTGATATGTAGGAGGGGCAATTTGATATGTAGGGGAAACAATCTGATATGTAGGAGGGGCAATCTGATGTGATGGAGGGGGCAATCTGATATGTAGGGGGGACAATCTGCCCCGGCAATCTGATTTGTAGGGGGATCGCAATCTGATATGTAAGGGGGGACAATATGATATGTAGAGGGGACAATCGGATATGTACGGGAAATAATCTGATATGTAAGGGGGGCAGTCTGATATGTAGGAGGGGCAATCTGATATGTAGGAGGGGCAATCTGATATGTAGGGGGGCAGTCTGATATGTAGGGGGCAGTTTGATATGTAGGGGGGCAGTCTGATATGTAGGGGCAGTTTGATATGTAGTGGAAACAATCTGAAATGTAGGAGGGGCAATCTGATATGTAGGGGGGCAGTCTGATATGTAGGGGCAGTTTGATATGTAGTGGAAACAATCTGATATGTAGGAGGGGCAATCTGATATGTAGGGGGGCAGTCTGATATGTAGGGGGCAGTTTGATATGTAGTGGAAACAATCTGATATGTAGGGGGGCAATCTGATATGTAGGGGGGCAATCTGATATGTAGGGGGCAGTCTGATATGTAGGGGCAGTTTGATATGTAGTGGAAACAATCTGCTATGTAGGAGGGGGAATCTGATATGTAGGGGGGCAGGCTGATATGTAGGGGGCAGTTTAATATGTAGTGGAAACAATCTGCTATGTAGGAGGGGGAATCTGATATGTAGGGGGGCAGGCTGATATGTAGGGGGCAGTTTAATATGTAGTGGAAACAATCTGATATGTAGGAGGGGCAATCTGTTATGTAGGGGGGCAGTCTGATAGGTAGGGGGGAGTTTGATATGTAGGGGGGCAGTCTTATATGTAGGGGGCAGTTTGATATGTAGAGGAAACAATCTGATATGTAGGAGTGGCAATCTGATATGTAGGGGGCAGTCTGATATGTAGGGGAAACAATCTGATATGTAGGAAGGGCAATCTGATATGTAGGGGGGGGGGGTCTGATATGTAGGGGGGACAATCTGATATATAGAGTGGACAATGTTTTGTGTGGGAGAGACAACCAAATAAGTTGGAGGGCAGTCTGTTATCCCAATTTTAAACATCAGAGGAAACGTTCTAGTTATGTAGAAGGAAACCATCTTTGTATGGGAGAGACAATTTGGTGTGTGGGAGGGGACAATCTGTTGTGTGGGAGGGGGAGGGGACAATCTGATGGGGGAGAGGGGACAATCTGATGAGTGAGAGGGGACAATCTGATGTGTGAGAGGGGACAATCTGCTGTGTGGGAGGGGACAATCTGTTGTGTGGGAGGAGACAATCTGTTGTGTGGGAGTGGGAGGGGACAATCTGATGGGTGAGAGGGGACAATCTGATGTGTGAGAGGGGACAATCTGATGTGTGAGAGGGGACAATCTGCTGTGTGGGAGGCGACAATCTGGTGTGTGTGAGGGGACAATATGATGTGTGGGAGAGGACAATCTGATGGGTGGGAGGGGACAATCTGATGGGTGGGAGGGGACAATCTGTTGTGTGGGAGGGGACAATATGATGTGTGGGAGGGGACAATCTGTTGTGTGGGAGGGGACAATCTGATGTGTGGGAGGAGACAATCTGTTGTGTGGGAGTGGGAGGGGACAATATGATGTGTGGGAGAGGACAATCTGTTGTGTGGGAGGGGACAATCTGATGTGTGGGAGGGGACAATCTGATGTGTGGGAGAGAACAATTTGTTATTGTGGACAGCTTTTTATATGGCAGGAGACTAGTCACATATTAGGACTGTTCATAGATGATGTATCTAATTATCAAGGGGAGATAACTAATTGATGTTTTGTTGTATGTATCCAGGTTTTCTGTGCAGTATGTACTGTCGGAGCCAGGGAACAGCTGGACAGGACCTCAGGGACGGATCAGGCTAGATCTTATGGAGATGTTTAGTCCCCACCCAGGGGGGAAATCTGATACCCTTATATGTGCCTGTGGTCCTACCCCGTTCACCAAAACAGTTATACAGTAAGTCTATATCAGAAACTTACCCAGGCCAACTGTTATACAGTAAGTCTATATCAGAAACTTACCCATGCCAACTGTTATACAGTAAGTCTATATCAAAAACTTACCCAGGCCAACTGTTATACAGTAAATCTATATCAGAAACTTACCCAGGTCAACTGTTATACAGTAAGTCTATATCAGAACCTTACCCAGGCCAACTGTTATACAGTAAATCTATATCAGAAACTTACCCAGGCCAACTGTTATACAGTAAGTCTATATCAAAAACTTACCCAGGCCAACTGTTATACAGTAAGTCTATATTAGAAACTTACCCAGGCCAACTGTTATACAGTAAGTCTATATCAGAAACTTACCCAGGCCAACTGTTATACATTAAGTCTATATTAGAAACTTACCCAGACCAACTGTTATACAGTAAGTCTATATCAGAAACTTACCCAGGCCAACTGTTAAGCTATAGTAAACCTGAGATCAATAATTCCATATACCTGAAATTTAATGATAAAATGTCTCTGCTGTATGACTTATTATGAAAACTGTAATAGTTTTTCCAAACTGATTATATACTTAGGTCACTTCCCTCAGTAACATATGTATCTAGGTCACTTTCCTTCGTACTATCTATATCTAGCTCACTTCCCTCAGTAATATTTATATCTAGGTCACTTCCCTCAGTAATATCTGTATCTAGGTCACTTCCCTTAGTACTATCTATATATAGGTCACTTCCCTCAGTAATATGTGTATATAGGTCACTTCCTCAGTAATATCTATAGCTAGGTCACTTCCCTCAGTACTATCTATATCTAGGTAACTTCCCTCTGTAATATCTATATATAGGTCACTTCCCTCAGTAATATCTATAGCTAGGTCACTTCCCTCTGTAATATCTATATATAGGTCACTTCCTTCAGTAATATCTGTATCTAGGTCACTTCCCTCAGTGCTATCTATATCTAGGTCACTTCCATCAGTAATATCTATATATAGGTCACTTCCTTCAGTAATATCTGTATCTAGGTCACTTCTCTCAGTACTATCTATATCTAGGTCACTTCCCTCAGTAATATCTATATCTAGGTCACTTTCATCAGTAATATCTTTATCTATATCGATATACTTAAAAACTGACCAAACATTCGAAATAAAGGAAGATATTATACTTTTTGTCAAAACTTCTGAATTCCAAAAATCCATTCCAACTAATATCATCATGATTCATGCAAAATTCTTCATCTACTACAGCTCCAGAAAGAAAAGAAACCCTAGCATGACTGAATTTAAAAAGTACTTATTTAATGTACATGAGATTGACAAGGTAATAGCCCAAGGGAGGAGGGAAATTGAGACCTTTGAAAAAACATGGGAATCATGGTCGAATATTTTCATACCCTAAAGCTAAAAATGCTACAAGTCTATAATATCTTATTTTAAATCCTCTATGGGTAAAGAAATTAATAACCCTAGCTGAAACCCGGGAATACTCGAGAACTATATATATTATATCTAACAACAATTAGGTATATAGTTACATATAGTACTGAATTTATTATTATTATATAGGTATATATATATAGGAAAATATATATAGGTATATATATATAGGTATATGATATTCTATATGCAAAATGCTGTGAGATGAAACTGATGATTGACATATAATCTTATAAATTTAAAAAGAACTCACATGAAACATATAGCTATGTGTATACATGTTTATGTTTTTTGGTTTGTTTGTGTATGTTTATGCATGTATGTGTGTACGGATGGATATATTTGCACATTCCTAGGCATGGAGTGGATATATGTGTATATGTGTGCATATATATCTGTGTGCATGAATGCGTGTTTGCATGCATATGTGTATATATGTTTGAGCATGCATATATGTATGTATCCATTCTCGACTCCCCTTGTAATAATGCTGTGTAGTAATGAAACAGTTTAGAGATCAAAAATGACACCTACTCAAGTATCCTTTTGGTTTGGATTATTGCATAAACTACATGTATTGATTTGTGCTACGTTTATGCATACATGTAGGAATGTGTGTATGTTTACAATATTTGCATATGTCATGTATGTGTGTATTTATCCTGAGTAAATGTAAGTGTGTTCAGTATACATATGTGTGTGGCTGTGTGTTAGGGCTGTCGCAATATATCGGAAAACAGGTATATCGCAATACAAGGGTATATTGTTTTGTACAGAGATGAAATATTGCTGTATCTAAATATTTTTTTAAAGCTGATTTTCATGTATCTCAATCTGATTGGTAATCTAACTTTACAAATAACTACAAATTCTAACAGATATGCCAATAAACATACAAAAGGCTTTTAATAGTGGTGGGAATTAGTTCAAATTTTGTAATCGATGGTTGGTGTGAAAAAAATCTTAAATCCATGTGATCCATATTATATATGATTAAGTTTGATAACATTCTGACAACAACTTATTACATCTTTCCTATGACAATATATCAGATACATATCGCAATATATTCATTCTGTATTGTGATATATCATGATACACTATTGGCGTATTGTAACACCCCTAGTGTGTGTATACATATGTATGTATGTATTATATATATATATATATTATATATGTATGTATATGTATGTATGTTTTATATATATATATATTATATATGTATGTTTATGTATGTATGTATGTAAATATGTATGTATATGTGTGCATGTTTGTGTATATTGATATTACTATTATTATACTGTAATCTAGGTCACTTTTATTAGTTATACTTTACATTACACTTGTACCATTATAAATCATTTTGATAGTATGAGAGTTATTTGATTGTTTTTTATTTTTCCAGATTAGCTAAAGACATAGGGTACGGTGATGATAACCTCCACGCCTTTCTAGGATGATAGTGAAATCTACAAATTCAAGGCAGGCTTTACATTGCTGATGGTATTTATTAGACTGAAAAGTCCCAAGATAGTCGACATTGATTATTCACAGGGATTACCTTCCTGGATAATCTCAAGATCAGTCTACCTGGATTATCTATAGGGATTACCTACCTGAATAATCTCAAGATCAGTCTACCTGGACTATCTACAGGGATTACCTACCTGGATAATCTCAAGATCAGTCTACCTGGATTATCTACAGGGATTACCTACCTGGATAGCCTCAAGACCAGTCTTCCTGGATTATCTACAGGGATTACCTACCTGGATAGCCTCAAGATCAGTCTACCTGGATTATCTACAGGGATTACCTACCTGGATGGTCTCAAGATCAGTCTACCTGGATTATCTACAGGGATTACCTACATGGATAGTCTCAAGATCAGTCTTCCTGGATTATCTACAGGGATTACCGACCTGGATAGTCTCAAGAATAGTCAACATTGATTATCTACAGGGATTACCTACATGAATAGTCTCAAGATCAGTCTTCCTGGATTATCTACAGGGATTACCTACATGGATAGTCTCAAGATCAGTCTAGCTGGATTATCTACAGGGATTACCTACCTGGATAGTCTCAGATCAGTCTACCTGGATTATCTACAGGCATTACCTACCTGGATAGTCTCAAGAATAGTCAACATTGATTATCTACAGGCATTACCTACCTGGATAGTCTCAAGAATAGTCAACATTGATTATCTACAGGNNATTACCTACCTGGATAATCTCAAGAATAGTCAACATTGATTATCTACAGGGATTACCTACCTGGATAGTCTCAAGATCTGTCTACCTGGATTATCTACAGGCATTACCGACCTGGATAGTCTCAAGAATAGTTAACATTGATTATCTACAGGCATTACCTACCTGGATAGTCTCAAGAATAGTCAACATTGATTATCTACAGGGATTACCTACCTGGATAGTCTCAAGAATAGTCAACATTGATCATCTACAGGCATTACCTACCTGGATAGTCTCAAGAATAGTCAACATTGATCATCTACAGGGATCCCCTACGTATCTTTTTCTATCCTGTACACAAGAATAGCTGATGTAAATGTTCCAGGTAGGGAACTCTGCAGTATTGAAATATTCCAGACTTAGTGTTAGGTATCTGTCCCGTGTCGTTACTGTAGGTCGGATGTAGAGTCAGGTTTTCTCTTACCCCGGACAGGCATATTCACACTGTTCCCAGTGTGATATAAACTTGTGTTTCACCTTAGGTACGAGACGAGGGGATCCTCCAGTCATAACGACCGTAAGACATCACCCCCAACCTAGACGTCATATCACCAACGCATTAACATCAAGTGAACAATGCTCTGACTCAGTGATGTCAACTTTACAACATTTATTTATATGACAGGGTCAACAGGGTAAGAGAAAAGGAATCAGTCACCCCCTTGGTGGTGAAATGGGGGATCTCAACCCTCAGGGAGGGATTCTTAAATTGCCAAACACTCTTGCTGAGTGTTCTGCACTTGAAGCAGCTTTCCCCATAGATTGAGATCGCCATATATCACCCCATAAAGGGTGATAGATTTTATTAATCTCTGATGGATTGTGATGTGTTTAGTTCTAGTCTGGGTCCCTAAAAATAGGAGACAGGTCACCAGGTCCCTGGTGATAGAAGACAGGTTACTGGGTCCCTGGTGATAGGAGACAGGTCACCAGGTTACTGGGTCCCTGGTGATAGGAGACAGGTTACTGGGTCCCTGGTGATAGGAGACAGGTTACCAGGTCCCTGGTGATAGGAGACAAGTCACCAGGTCCCTGGTGATAGGAGACAGGTAACCGGGAGACAGGAAACAGGTTACCGGGTCCCCTGGTGATAGGAGACAGGTTACCGGGCTTGGTGATAGGAGACATGTTACTGGGTCCCTGGTGACAGGAGACAGGTTACAGTGTCCCTGGTGATAGGAGACAGGTTACCGGGTCTGGTGATAGGAGACAGGTCACCAGGTCCCTGGTGATAGGAGACAGGTTACCGGGCCTGGTGATAGGAGACTGGTTACCAGGTCCCTGGTGATAGGAGACAGGTTACTGGGTCCCTGGTGATAGGAGACAGGTTACCTGGTCCCTGGTGATTGAAGACAGGTCACCAGGTCCCTGGTGATAGGAGACAAGTTACCAGGTCCCTGGTGATAGAAGACAGGTTACCTGGTCCTTGGTGATAGGAGACAGGTTACCGGGCCTGGTGATAGGAGACAGGTTACTGGGTCCCTGGTGATAGGAGACAGGTTACAGTGTCCCTGGTGATAGGAGACAGGTTACTGGGTCTCTGGTGATAGGAGACAGGTTACTGGGTCCCTGGTGATAGGAGACAGGTTACCGGGTCCCTGGTGATAGAAGACTGGTTACCGGGTCCCTGGTGATAGGAGACAGGTTACCGGGTCCCTGGTGGTAGAAGACTGGTTACCGGGTCCCTGGTGATAGGAGACAGGTTACAGTGTCCCTGGTGATAGAAGACAGGTAACCGGGTGCCTGGTGATAGGAGACAGGTTACCGGGTCCCTGGTGATAGAAGACAGGTCACCAGGTCCCTGGTGATAGGAGACAGGTTACTGGGTCTGGTGATAGGAGACAGGTTACCGGGTCTGCTGATAGGTCACAGGTTACTGGGTCTCTGGTGATAGGAGACAGGTTACCGGGTCCCTGGTGATAGGAGACAGGTTACCTATTTCACTGCCGTGTCTGGCTGAAAACTACTGATGGAAAGTTGTACCGACAAATGTAAAGCGGAAATACCATTAGCTGATGTCAAGTCTCTTGGTGTGTTTTTTTACTTAGATGTTCTCAAAGTGTATATAAATATAGATGTTAAAAAGTAATTTCAACAATAAATATATTTTTGAAACAATCAATAATGGAGAAAATTCTTTTGGATTGACATTTTATTTATTTTGTGTATATGTCTCCAAGATTTGAAAAATTCCATCAGGATCCACATGTGGGGGCTGACAACAGAATCCAATTGGGGGGGGGGGGGGGGCACAACAGGATACATGACAAGATCCACATGTGGGGCTGGCAACAGAATCTAATTGGAGGAGGGGGAAGGGAGCAGGATACATACCAAGATCCACATGTGGTGAGAAGCAGACCCAGTGATCCTCATATCCAATGGGAGACATATGAATGGTTCAGCTAATCAAATCACACAGTATTAAAGCACGCTTTTATTGGAGGACATGACCCAGAGATTCAAACTTTAGATGAACAGTGTTTATATTTTGTTTATCATGCTGATGTGTACAGCGCAACTGTTGATTCACTAACATCCTTCACTACAAAACAGCAATATATCAGTACAGACTACAGTTGTTCAGCAGTGTGGTATCAGTACACATCACTGGAGTTCACATCACTGGAGTTCAGCAGTGTGATACCGGTATACACCACTGGAGTTCAGCAGTGTGATATCAGTACACACTACTGGAGTTTAGCAGTGTGATATCAGTATACACCACTGGAGTTCAGCAGTGTGATATCAGTACACACCACTGGAGTTCAGCAGTGTGATATCAGTATACACCACTGGATTTCAGCAGTGTGATACCAGTATACACCACTGGAGTTCAGCAGTGTGATACCAGTACACACCACTGGAGTTCAGCAGTGTGATATCAGTATACACCACTGGAGTTCAGCAGTGTGATATCAGTACACACCACTGGAGTTCAGCAGTGTGATATCAGTACACACCACTGGAGTTCAGCAGTGTGATATCAGTATACACCACTGGAGTTCAGCAGTGTGATATCAGTACACACCACTGGAGTTCAGCAGTGTGATATCAGTACACACCACTGGAGTTCAGCAGTGTGATATCAGTATACACCACTGGAGTTCAGCAGTGTGATATCAGTACACACCACTGGAGTTCAGCAGTGTGATATCAGTACACACCACTGGAGTTCAGCAGTGTGATATCAGTACACACCACTGGAGTTCAGCAGTGTGATATCAGTACACACCACTGGAGTTCAGCAGTGTGATATCAGTACACACCACTGGAGTTCAGCAGTGTGATATCAGTACACACCACTGGAGTTCAGCAGTGTGATATCAGTACACATCACTGGAGTTCAGCAGTGTGATATCAGTATACACCACTGGAGTTCAGCAGTGTGATATCAGTATACACCACTGGAGTTCAGCAGTGTGATATCAGTACACACCACTGGAGTTCAGCAGTGTGATATCAGTACACATCACTGGAGTTCAGCAGTGTGATATCAGTATACACCACTGGAGTTCAGCAGTGTGATATCAGTATACACCACTGGAGTTCAGCAGTGTGATATCAGTACACACCACTGGAGTTCAGCAGTGTGATATCAGTACACATCACTGGAGTTCAGCAGTGTGATATCAGTATACACCACTGGAGTTCAGCAGTGTGATATCAGTATACACCACTGGAGTTCAGCAGTGTGATATCAGTACACACCACTGGAGTTCAGCAGTGTGATATCAGTACACATCACTGGAGTTCAGCAGTGTGATATCAGTATACACCACTGGAGTTCAGCAGTGTGATATCAGTATACACCACTGGAGTTCAGCAGTGTGATATCAGTACACACCACTGGAGTTCAGCAGTGTGATATCAGTACACATCACTGGAGTTCAGCAGTGTGATATCAGTATACACCACTGGAGTTCAGCAGTGTGATATCAGTATACACCACTGGAGTTCAGCAGTGTGATATCAGTACACACCACTGGAGTTCAGCAGTGTGATATCAGTACACATCACTGGAGTTCAGCAGTGTGATATCAGTATACACCACTGGAGTTCAGCAGTGTGATATCAGTATACACCACTGGAGTTCAGCAGTGTGATACCAGTACACACCACTGGAGTTCAGCAGTGTGATATCAGTACACACCACTGGAGTTCAGCAGTGTGATATCAGTACACACCACTGGAGTTCAGCAGTGTGATATCAGTACACACCACTGGAGTTCAGCAGTGTGATATCAGTACACACCACTGGAGTTCAGCAGTGTGATATCAGTACACACCACTGGAGTTCAGCAGTGTGATATCAGTACACACCACTGGAGTTCAGCAGTGTGATATCAGTACACACCACTGGAGTTCAGCAGTGTGATATCAGTACACACCACTGGAGTTCAGCAGTGTGATATCAGTACACACCACTGGAGTTCAGCAGTGTGATATCAGTACACACCACTGGAGTTCAGCAGTGTGATATCAGTACACACCACTGGAGTTCAGCAGTGTGATATCAGTACACACCACTGGAGTTCAGCAGTGTGATATCAGTACACACCACTGGAGTTCAGCAGTGTGATATCAGTACACACCACTGGAGTTCAGCAGTGTGATATCAGTATACACCACTGGAGTTCAGCAGTGTGATACCAGTATACACCACTGGAGTTCAGCAGTGTGATATCAGTACACACCACTGGAGTTCAGCAGTGTGATACCAGTATACACCACTGGAGTTCAGCAGTGTGATATCAGTACACACCACTGGAGTTCAGCAGTGTGATATCAGTATACACCACTGGAGTTCAGCAGTGTGATATCAGTACACACCACTGGAGTTCAGCAGTGTGATATCAGTACACACCACTGGAGTTCAGCAGTGTGATATCAGTATACACCACTGGAGTTCAGCAGTGTGATATCAGTACACACCACTGGAGTTCAGCAGTG